TGCTTGGTACTGGTTATTCAACCATTTTTTATCTTATTTTTTTTAATGAAAATATTTGTCCAGTTTGTTTGTACTGATTATCCAATCGTTTTCTATTGGTTATCCAATTATTTTTACTGTTTGTCCAAATAAGTTTGAACTACTTGTCCAATCATTTTTTTTCTTTTGAGTAAATGATTGTCCAATGTGTTCATACTGATTATCCAACTGCTCGATATTGCTTCTTCAAGTATTTTTTTATTTATTTTTTTTTATGAAAGATTATCAAATCGGTTTTTATTGGTTATTCAATCATTTTTCTAAGAAAATGGTTATCCATTGTGTTTATACTGACTGACCGATTTGAACTTATTATCCATTTGTTTGTACCAATTATCCAATTTTTTTTTTTTGAAAAAATCATTATCCAATATGTTAATACTGATTATCCAACTAACTAGTACCGATTATCCAACCTAGTTTTATTTTTTATTTTTTTGAAAAAAATGGTTGTCAAACGTGTTCATAGTGATTATCCAACTGCTTGGTATAGATTATCCAACCACTTTTTTCTTTACTTTTTACGAAAATCCTTGTCCATTTTTTTTGTACTGATTATCCAATCATTTTCACTGATTATCCTAACAAATTTCTTTTTTTTTTTCTTCTGCGAAAATATATATCCAATGTATTTATACTGATTATATATCCAGCTTTTTGGTGATGGTTATCCAACTTTTTTTTTCCTTTCTTTTTTATGAAAATGATTGTCTAATTTTTTTGGTACTGATTATCCAACCAGTTTGTACTTCTTATCCAATTATTTAATTGATTATCCAAATTGTTTGTAATATTTATCCAAATATTATATTCTTTCTTTTTTTTTGAAGAGGAGGGAATGTCAAAGAGAGTTTCAATCAAGATGCCTACTCAGTTGATTTTTTTTAGTACTTATTCAGCGTTTTTACAGATTATCCATTACGTTAGTACTGCTTATCTAATCATTTATTTTGTAAAAAAGTGGTCATCCAATGTGTTAATAGTGATTATCCAACTGAATACTACTTCTACAGCCATTTTTCTTCTTCTCCAGCCTTTTTTTTCATTTTACTTTTCACGAAAATCTTTATTCAGCTTGTTTGTACTGACTATCCAACTGGTTTTTATTGGTTATCCAATTATTTTCATTGCTTATCCAAACAGGGTTCATAATGCTTATCTGAACATTTTTCTTTCTTTTTTTTTTAAAGAAAATGTTTGTCTAATATACATGTTTATACCTAGTATCCAACATTCCAACTTCTTGTTGATGGTTATCTAACTTTTTTTTTTTTACTTTTTTTTTTTGAAAATGATTTTCTAATTTTTATACTGATTATCCAACCAGTTTGTACTGCTTATCCAATTATTTTCATTGGTTATCCAAATAGTTTATAAAGGTTATCCAATCATTTTTTTCCTTTTTTTTTGAAAAAATAGTTGTCCAATATTTTCATACCGATTATCTAACCAACTGGTTTGCACTGCTTCTTCAAGTTTTTTTTTTTTTTTTATTTTTCTTGAATATCCTTGTCCGTATTTTTCAAATTTCTTATTCAACCGGTTTGTACTGCTTATCCAATTATTTTTACTGCTTCTCCAAATCGTGGTGGCTGTCCATTGGTTTTGTAGTGTTTATCCAATGCCTCTGAATATAACTATTTCCATCGGCAAAAAATCAAGATACTTATCCAATGGTTTTCTAGTACTTATCTAACGTTTTTGTACTCATTATCCAACACAAATACTTTCTTCATTCCTGCCCGGAGTATTTTAATTATTTTTATTTTTCAAAAAAAATTAAATATTGATCTCATTGGATAGATCTCGTCGAGAACTATAAATTTCATAAATAATTTATTTTGTAATTCTTTAAAGGTTGAGAGATATAAATTTTACAAAAATATCAATATAAAATAAGTTAGTTACCCATCTATTTAAACCGGATATTCATCTTAATTCTACCCATCAGAATTTAAATCATTGTTAAGTCTAAAAAAAATATTCGATATGGATCTTATTGGATGATCTCGACGATTACTATAATTTTCATATACAATTCGTTTACAAATTATTTACGGATTGAGAATGATATTCGTTTAAAAATTAGAGATATTTTATGAGGAGTCAGAAAAAAAAAGTGGTAGAGACTATATTTATAAAATATAAAAAATTAAGAAAAAAACTAAAAATCATATGTGCAAAAAATAGGAAGGGAACGGTACACCTGGGTGCACCCAATATAGACTCACTATTAATTGCTCACGTTTTACCCCTTAACTAATCCTGGTTATTGTTAAATCCCAACGCAGCACGTCTTCTCCTTTCCCAATCAATTTAGTAGTTTTCAAAAAAATAACCTCTTCCACCCCCTCCGCTAAAAGCAAAGAGAATTGTGTGTAAAGTACCAACCCTTTAGCCAAAAATATGACCATTTCACATATAATAAAATTGATTAACTTATACTTCACGCCTTATTAAGTTTATTTAGGATACGCGAATAAATTAATGTTGTTGAAGGACAGGGAAAAGATTATGTGGCGTGTAACACTGAAAATTGCTTCAAAAGAAGGATGAACAAAATGTTCAATTCCAAAATGAGTCATGTTGCAGGCCTTTAATTCCCAGTGAAGAGAAGAGTAAATATATTTTTATAGTAAAAAAATTGAAATTTGTATATTTTAAAAAAAAAACAATACTAATTCTGCTTCAAAATAAGTGTCGTTTTAGCAAAAAAGAGAAATTCTAAAATAAGTGTTGTTTTCTGATTCCAATAAATTTTTTGTCAAAAATTTTCAAACATTCCTTCAAAAGAAATAATATTATTGGTGAACCTTTACTTTAGTGGGTTGGTTGATGATATTCCAATTTAGCTACCATATTTAATATTTTCTTAAACTGTGTACAAACTCTAGAATGACACTTATTTTATAACCGGAGGAAGTACATGGTTAACGTCAAAAGTGAAATTGATTTATTAATTCCTTATAACCATAATAATACACTATCAAAACATTGCGGGAAAAAAGAAAATACCAAAAAAAAAAAGAAAATGATAAATAGTTTCCGTCCACTTTTTCCTTAGTTTTGTTAAGAAAATGAAAAAGCCGACGACGCCAATAAGTTCAACTCAAAACAAAAATTTTCGAACATTCATGCTAACACCAATATAACCAACAAATATATTGAAACTACAAACTTTTCCATGTCCATTGGAAAACTTAAAAAATTAAAATGTTTCAATAAATTTTTGAATCGTGTCTATTTTTTTCTTGAATTATAAAAACTGGTGATGAGAGCGCGTCCGTGCTTTTGTGAAAATGAATGGTTTTAAAGTTTAAAACATATTTCTTGTAATCCTGCCATCCGAATGCGTGGACCTTATTAAACCTGTGGAGTTGCATTGTCCAAACTCCAAATCTTCAGTTCCCCGGCATGATGGCCATAGCGATGACAAATTACTCTTCAACTCCAGATAACTTTCAGAACCAATTAAAACTGTAAAAGTGAGGTCTGCAAAGATACTTGGGAACTGTCTAATGATTTTGAAACAAGCGATTAATCAGGATGGGAAGCACCAGCTTCAGAATCGGATCAACAATATTTATAACCAAGGACAAATCTGAAGAGACTATTAGATTGTGTATGCTAAGCAAACAAATTTGCTTTGTTTGTTTTCTTTTTTAGTTGGTTTTTTTTTCAGAATTAAATAATAATAACTGTCTCATCCCATCATACCTTTTTACATTTCCAATACACTGTTTTACATTCTCAATACAAAAAACACCTAAAAACACACATTAAAAAAACGAAACAAATCATTTTATGGACCATGTACATCTACATTCTACATGAAGAAAAGAAAAGGCAATTTTTCAGCAACGCCGGACCCTAATGGACCCTAATGAACAAGTTTTTTTTTTTGTGGCTTATAAAGTTTCACGAAAATTTGTAAGCTGCCGGGGCTCCTCAAGTGTACTGGAGCCTTTGGTGGCCCAACATACGCCAACACTCTGTTAATATGGCCAAGAAGACCATCACTTTTGTTTCTAAAAGTGAAATTTTCTTAGTACTATATTGCATGAAATTTTCACACCGCAATTTAATTTTGAAATGCATACTTATGAAATCAGTTGTGGGAAAGATATAAGCAAGCGGCTCTTTCTTTTTCTTTTTTTTTTCCCTATTTTTTTGGTGAGGGTTTCAATATATAAGTAAGCCGTTTCTGATAGAATCCTGTTGATATGAAAATTTATTGTATTCTATGTAATATTGACAACTCACTATAGTACAAATGAAATACTATCAAAAAATTGTGAAAATGACTCTAAAAAATGGATTTTGGTTGTCGTCACTTTTTCTCGTCTTCATAGGCCTAAAACTTGCAAAACAGAGTCTCAGGTGTCTTCTGATGGTAAACTCTCCGATACTTAAAATTAATATGGGAATAGAGAGAATTAAGAAAGCATATGTGTTTCATGTGTAGAAGGTATAGAAAATAGGTAAAAGATTTTCAATATAAGAGAGGCACCACCTCTTAACGGAGACAAGAAAGGTGACGACAACAATGTCAATTCAATTTAAAAATTTCTGGGCATTGATGGTTAAAATTTTCCAATAAATTTTTTGATTAAATCTAGGTTTTCTGAAATCATGAAAACCCAAGACAGAAAAGAGTACATGTGAAAATGGAAACTTTCACGTAAAAATGTGATTGATTAATTACTAAACCATAATATTTAAAAATAGTGAAAATGATATCAAAGAAAAAAATTTCGCATTAATTATGTTGAGAAAACGAAAATGTGACGTAAACCAAATAATTTCATGAAACCTTTTGATTTCTATAGATCAACCAATATTTAAAAATGACAATTTTCAATAGACATAAGAAAATTCACTTGTTAAAGGTTTGAAAAACATTTTTGGAACGGAATTTTTTTTTTATTCTGATTTTGAAAACCGATGACAAATGTACTTTATATCAACTTAAGACTTGAAATTGATTAATTACTAAATCATAATTCCGTAAAAAATGAAAAAATAAAATGATACAAAACAATAAATTTTGCCTTCCGTCTACTTTGTAGTCGATTTTGTTAATAGAAAGACCAAAAAATTTGCCGCTAATAGTTACATGTCAAAATAGAAATTTCATGACTTCCCAAAAAAAAAAAAAAAGACTACTATTTCTGTCAACTGGTTTATATTGACTAGAGGTGGTAAATATGGGTCATAGATACGGCCAACCAAACTAGTAATAGCCCCTTCCTCTTCCTCGTCCACCTTGACTTCTTCCTCGTCCTCTCCCAAAACCTCGGCCTCTTGGTCCACTTCTGCCCCCATATGTTGCACCTTGAAATGGCCTACTAGGAAATTGATTTTGCATTCCACCATCACCACGCCCCTTTTTTGAAGCATTCATGTTGGAGCCATTAGTTCCAGCAGGGCGTTTACCTCTACTACATACATAAGGCAAAGAATGAGCTAATATGAAAGGCCAAATGGACAAAACAAATATGACAAATATCAAATTATCAGGTCCAATCTCAATTGCTAGGAAAAGGTTTAACACAATCCGAAAATCTATAACCAAATACATGCAAGTGATCCTTTTTGTTTATCTGGACACTGATTTCTTGACTGTACATGTATATTGCTGTTCCTTCTACCTTGTACAGCGGAAATATTGTAAAGAACTTTTTGGCGGAAAACGTCATTTTACACAGAAGAAAGAGGAGAATGACTTCAAAGGAAAATTACATGAAACATCACAATGAAAATATTGAGCTTAAATCAAATTACAAAATTTGAATTCAAATTTGAACCAAGATCTGATGACTCTTTAGATACTTTTGTTACTTTCGGAGGGAAGGTAAATCTCTATTGGAAAAGCTTAAACACAAAGATAGCCTGACAAACTTACCCGGCCCCAACACTAGTTGATGTAACAGAAGATTTTGGAGCTTCTTTCCAAGACACGCTGATTCTCTTGTCACCAATGAATGATGGTGATTTGGAATGTAGAGGCTGCAGTATCAGATAATTTCTAAGAACAGTGTTCATCATATATTTAACAGTCTAAATTCCAAAGGAAGTAGTACTCCCCGCACCTGTGTCATATCAAGTATATTATGGCAAGTTCGCAATCCAGTGGCGGCATTTTGCTTTTGTGCTTTCTGAATTTGGTGCCAAAGGAGACAACAAAATGTTAGAACACCATCACTAAAGCTTAATCAGAAAAATAACTTTTTAAACTGTCATTAGGCTCACAATTTTGGCTTTTGCGTCATCAGAAGTAGCACCAGCCAGTGCTTTGTTATGTTCAGCCATTCCCTGATTCAGTTTCTTTATGGCAGCCTTAGCTAGCTCTTCCACACACTTCAAGCTGCAATCCATCCGTAGGAAAATCAGTTCAAAATTCATGAATAAACAATCAACCTCAAACAGCATTATCTAGCACATTCTACTTAGAAATATAAAATTTTAAGAATAAAAAATAAGGCCTAAACATCACATTTCTGATGTCTAAAGAGTAAAGAGATCCAAACCATAAGCAATTAGCCCATGAAATATCATTCGAACATACTATATATATAACATACAGCTACGCCTAGCATCGATATTTCCCCAAATTAAATAAAATCTCTCAGAAAATCATACTTGTGCTCCTACCATCCACATTAAAACTGTTCCCCCAAATTGGGGGCCCCAATGATCATGTACATCAAATTGATCTTAGCAGACCCCGAACTATCTTCTCTTCATATGGTTAGGAAAGTATTTCAATTGATTGAAAATTACGATTAACAGAAAGAGAACTATGTAGAAAATGTACAAATTACCGTTCTGTAAACTCTTTATAATGCTCAGAGAAGTCCTCCCCAAGCCTATCGGAGGGTTGACCAGTAACGATCTTGTACCCACATAGGCTATTAGTGGCGTTGGGAGCCTAATCCAAGACAAAAAGAATAAGTATCAAAAATGATAAAGACGCAAAAATAGATAGTAACAGAAAAAAAATTGATTCACCTTATGCGCTAAATGGTGGAATGTGTACAATAAGCACTCAACATAAGTGAAGTTCATCTCTTCTCCTGCTCTTCGAATTGGCATGTGTCTCTGGGACACAAATGAACAAAGCAATATCAGAACTCAAGGCACAAAATTTAATCAGAAAATCGACAGTCTACACTGTACAGTATCAGTCAAGAGACTATGTTAGATCTTTAACATGACAAGTTCAAGGAGCTCTGCTTACAGTAAAAGAGATAAGATAAAACTTAATGCACAAAACCAGGATATGCATAATGTAAAGTGTAGCTTGTTCCGTCAGTGGAATCATGACGCTACAGTAACGGCTAAATGCACATGTCAGAAGGAATTGCGTCAGGTAGCTTTAAGAAACAGATCCAATCATGTGAGCATAAATGACACACTTGCCTTCAAAAGCTGAACAACTGAGGGAAGTATTTGTCTTGAATCCTGAGGTGTGGTGTAAGGAGAACTCTCAGCGAGATCCTTCAGCAGGTCAACTTTCCGATCTTCAGGAAGCTGGGAAGCAATACCAAGTTTAGTGCAGATTTTATGCACCCACAGATAAATAAACAGGAACAGAAACAAAAGGAAAACAGGGAAATAAAGTGCCTGTGCTGCTGGAAAGATCTATAATTCGATAATATTTGTAAGCTAAGTCTGAAAACTTACATAGGAACAAACTAAAAAGTTTTGGGAAGCATACACTAGAAAAGTGAAAAGTCGTTTGTATGCTTTGATAGCATATATTTGTACACCGACAAAAAAAAAAAAAAAAAGCAGCAGATTTGAAGGGTGTTCACTCTCTAGGCAGAAAATGAAATCAGGGAGGAAACATTCAGCCAAAATCTACAGCATTTGTTTAGCATAAGGAGCACGGAAGCATTAGCTCAGTCTGCCGAAGAGGACCCAGTATTAAAACCAAATTCACGATTGCATGTACTCCCTCCGTCCCATAATTATTGTCCAGTTTTACTAAAATGAAAGATTTTATTTTTGGTCAAACTTAACTATATTTTACCTTAAACAACCGGATATACCCTTACATAAGTAATTGTTTGACCACTAAGATTTTATGGATAATGTTTTTTACTAAGGACAAATGTGTAACTTGATCCATAAAAAGTCAAATTGGACAATAATTTTGGGACAAAATTTTTTGGGCAAAGTGGACAATAATTATGGGACGGAGGGAGTATAAAAATACAATAGATGCAAGGGTAAGCAAAATAGAAAAACTAGTCCAACTGCTACACCATGCAAAATTGGAGCAATACCAACAGTTCTTTAAAATTCTTTGTCAATGAATGATATAAATACCTTATCAAAAACAGGAAAGATGTGCTTGTTCAGATAATTGAGAAAGTTGCTATTTGATGCGCCCCTCTGTTCATGAGAAAATTACTTCAGTTTACCAGGTGAAATGTGAGATTGCCCAAAAGAATTAAAATGCTAACTCAGTGACAGACCTCGAAAAATGGAATAGCCATAAACATGCAAGCGATCAACCTAGCAATGTGATCCCCATCAGCCACCTGCATTTCAACAAGACAATCATAATAACAGTTAAAAACAGGATACAGCAACCTAATGTTTTGTGAGAAAAGCCACAGCTTGAAGATAGATAATGCCACCAAGGCAACTATGAGCTTCAATTCCATAAACAAGGACGCAAGGCAAAAGTTGCATTATAGTCTACAGAAAAACTATATTAGTATGACAGCTCGACTACACATGGAAATTTGACATTTTAAGTACCCTAACATAAAACCAGCACAAAAACTGCAAATAAAAGGACATATTGATCAATCCACTTGCAAGATCAACTCAAATTCTAGTACTTTTCTTCTCCTTTTTCATGCTTCATAATCACAACTTCAAGAATAATAATGAGTATACCCTAGAGTTACAAAGGATCATCTCCGCACCCAAAACACTTTGCATGGAGATATTTTAGCAGGTGGAAAATTATCATGAAACACTGCAAATAACTGAAGAAGCTCTCTTATGTTGTACCATTTAACCAATTTATTGTCATCCGTACTCTTTCTACCCACAAACCAATTGAAATCACTGGAAAACTCTAGTGTCAACAAATTCCATCAAACACACTGAGTGACATTTTTGTAGTTGCTTTGCATAAAAGGTAATACACAAAATACTATCTCTGTCTTAACTCCGAAAACAAAAATCAAGTCCTAAATAGGAAAAATTGACCACTTTATCAGCCTTAGATGAAGCGAAGATAAAAGAAAGCATATTTTCCTAAACTGTGATAGGGACTCTTAGTTATTCTTATTATCATTAAGTCGCTTTTAAGGGATTTTGTAATACAAATGGATTCTTACGTTGAATTGAGCATCTAGGTCAGCTTGGCTTTCAATCATCCCACTGAGTTCTTGAACACGTTCCGTAGGAGCTTTCTCTCCAAATATGCTTAAACTTTTAAGGAAATCCATAAACATCTTGAATTCGGATCCAGTGACATCTTGTAAGCTCTGCAAAGGAGAAAGTATAAAGTTTATACTCATTATCCCAACACCAGAATTCTATCATTCTCAATCCTTTTGGATAAAAGGTAGCATCCATATAACTATAAACACATTAGACATTTTCCATGCCAAATAACAAACCTTCTTTATCAAATCAGTAATGTGCCTTTCCATCATCTCTGGAGGCCTCAACAGCTCAGATTTGAGAGGGAAAACCTGAAACAGTGTTAAAGTGTAATCCATAAGTAGAACACTAAAATATCATCTAGGCATCACAATGGGAGAGATTTCACCCAACCTTGTCCCTGATAAAGCTTAAGGTCCTTTCTCTCAGACTTTCATCAGTAATCTGTTCATCAACAGACTCGATGTGCTTAAATAAGGCGGTCAACGAAGCTGCATATAAGTGAATCTTGTTAAGGACATTAAATAGGTAGATTCAGCTACTAAGAAGTCTGACCCGAAAACGACCAATAGTGAGAAAACACGTCCAGAAAGTTGGATTATCATGAGACATGAAATACAATGCAAGTACTAGAAACTACAAGTTAACACACCTGAAAAGGTCTACAAGTCTTAGACTCTGTGAAATCATGCACATATGACCTAATAGTCAGATTTAAGGTGTCTTATCCTTTCATTATGAACCAATTGTTCCATAACTTTCTTCCCTTCTAACAGTTTATCACTTCCTGTATGATGTAGTAAAAGTTCAAGAAAGCCTTTGCTCTTGACAATGATTACATTTTGTTGACCAAAAGCAATTGTGGTCTAACATTTCTGTTTTATACAAAACATCGAGTAATCTATTCCGGTTAAGCTGGTCTAACATTCTTCCCCAGACTTGGAATAGAGGCAAAAATGGGAACCAAAATTAGTTGATGTTGCTGAACCTAAAACTTTACCTTTCACATCTTGCCTCAATAAGGATAAAAGAGCTTTATGAACTGCGTCGCGCTCAATATTTTCCTCTGGGGATGCCAATTATGCTTTAAGTCAGATACAAATAATTGTAAAGGACAAAACATAAAAGGAAATTTAAAATCTGTTTACCGGCAGTGAGAAGCTGAACAAGAATATCTACTATTTTCGAAAGATAATCTGGTGTATCCTTACAGAAGAGAGGAAGCCCACGAATTGCTTGCACGCGGACCTGCAAATTTTAATTACTACTCAAAGACCAAGGACATAATGAATAGGAAACATCAAATTGGAAATACACAAAAATTCCACCGCAGACAATCATACGACTTAAAGTTTCAAAAACTGCTTCCCATAATTTAGTATTTCCTAATTATTTCTGACACCTAAATCTATCAGCCCTGCACTTCTCGAGAAAAACTCTCTGTTCTGCATCAGAAATATTACATATTCACGTGAAACCCTTATAACATCACGTCGAAGAATCCAAGGCCATGTATCGTATCAAGCATCCAAACCATTAAATACTTAAGAAACAGAACCAAACAAGCTTGAAGAGAACTTCCAAACTCATATGAGATAGAGAAGCATGGCATGACCATTTGTAATTAGATAAAAACAGAAAACTAAGTAAATGTAAAATATCTCTTTAGACTCTATTAAATAATGATACTAAACTTTAAAAATCAGAACATGTATTAAACACACTCTAAATCAAATTTACACTTCACAAAATAGTCTCACTCTCAAACAAGTTTTGCATGACACTTGAAAATCTTACTCCAAAAAAGACTCAAGAACAAAAGTTAGGCCAAAAATCAGCTGCCATGAGACCTGAGTTCACAGGCTCCAGTAGTTGAAAAACTTCACCTAGAAAAATATAAGATAAAGCTGATTACGTTAGGCCTCAATGACCTGCTTCTTACCTGGCTTCTATAAACCAGGGTGCTCACTCATTACAAGTTTAAGGTGAGTTCTTATGGAAAAGCTGGCTGCGGCGACAAACTGAAAAAATAAAGTGTTACAGTAGCCATGGCTTTACATCCTCACCAGCTATCTCTCACCACAATGGTGGGCAACCCAAAAGAATAGATACTTAAAAGTTAAAACACTCAAGTACAGACATACACTTCAGGAAATCAAAAATGGACCAGCAGAAAATTCATTATATTATTCATCCTTCAATGTGAGGTTATCCATGTCACTATCTGCATATGTTTATGCGCTTACGATTTCCTATGCTACCCAAGCAGCGTATAAGGAAGTGGTGTCACTGTTACCCATATACCAGGAACAGAAAGCTCCAACTGGATAAGAAATCATTAACTCGTCGTAACCACTCCAAGCATGGAATATTTGTTCCAAAATTCATCTCAAAATGTGGCAACACCTGTCGTCTCCCCGTTATGGCCATGAAGCAAATTTTTCTCAATTACTAAAAGTTTTGTACGTCCCAGGAGTACATGCTTTAAAATACTTTCAGGAATGGCCTCTGATATGCTAAGCAAGAACAAAAAAGAACAAAGGTTCATCTGATATCTATATCATTCCACAGAACAGCTACCATTGGTTCTCCTTCGTGTATGTGACGATGTTCATTGCATTGCCGACGTTTTAACTTATCAGCAATACTTCATCCAATCTTAGCATTGATGGACTCATACATGAAAGATTAGAACCTATGCCTACTAAAAATGCTGAAGAATATCTTGTTGCCAAATGTCACATATACCAAAAGCTGCAAGCCATGAGTTAGCTAAACTATCTCAAGCGATCACATACTGCAAAATCACCAGAGAGATTTCTCCTGGTAATCTCTAAGCTCCTCCAGACTCCAGAAGCTTCTGCGTCTACGAGATTGAAGAGGGTTGTTTCTCTAGATTCCACCCTCTCTTCATAAAGCAAGGCATAAAGGTGCCTAGCACCTTATTTTAATGATTTCCACTTGTAAAAGCGAATTACAACTATTCAGGAAATTAGAAACTAAAGCAACCCTTATCTTCTGTTTAACATCAAAGCCTCAAGAGACTCAGTTCATTCTATTTTCACGAACAAGCATGAGCATACTGCAGTGCCCAAGAATAGTAGTCAAAATAACATCTGATTAGATAACCAGGTCATAAACTAACAATATTTGTCCAAGATCGACTACCATTTCACATAGAAAAAAGACCGTGTAAATCCTCTTCAGGGGTTAAATTATAATGTCTCCAATCTCTTGACAATGATATCTGCACCATAACATGTTCATGCGTACCAAGACAGTTTTTCATCCTATTGAAGATCCATTCAAGTTGATGTTCCTACTAGGCTTCTAAAGAACTCAGCCTACTGTTAATCGATACAATCAAATTCCACTCGGACAATTACACACATTGGAATCAAGGGAAACCAGATACTGAACCAACAGGAACTTCTTCAAACCCAAAGCATGAAGCAGCAAGTCTAATTCCTACCCCAACAACAAGTAAGCATCCAATATAATTGTACACAACATCCAGTAATTCTTCCTCTTTCCTCTTATCACATTGTGAAACTTTTTTCCTGGATTAGAAAGAACACTTCCCTACGGAAGAAGCTTCATCAATGAACACCAATGCTTAACTGGAGTGCTCTTGAGTTGACCACAAGACCCAACAAAATACTGGCTTGCTATACATTCAAAATATTCTAGGCTGTAGGAATTGACCCGAGAAAGAAGAGATCAAAAGTGCTCACCCCAAGTTCATAAGCTTCACACAAATCAAGATGTGCATCAACAGCTTTAACAGAAAGTTCAGGGAAGAACTTGAAGAATCTCGGAATGAGTTGAGCCGCTAATTGCATTGCTTTGATGCTGTTACTCTTCGCCGCCTTGAGTATATTTTCATAATCATCCGTATGCTATTCAAAACAAAAAACAAAACCAAAGCGAGAATCAATAAATAATCCAAAATTCAACATCCGCAACTACTGAGGAACCCAAACCTATAATCGATTAACATAATTTACAAAAATCGGAAACCCTAGAAGTGGAGCGGGAAGTACTCAAAAGCGAAATCAAATTTCCGAACCTGGGATTTATCTTTGGCTTCGTTGAGACGCTCGACGTACTCGTAGAGCTTCTCTACTTCTTTCGCCTCGTCGGAAGATGTCATCATCGGGGCCTTTTGCTCGTCGGAATTGTTGTTGCTCATTGACTGTGTGAGGCGGTTGCTGGTTGAGACTTGAGAATAGAGAAGAAATTAGGCGGAGACTCGGGAGAGGACTCAAAAGGAACTATGCGTTTCTTTGTATGGAACAGAGTAAAGCCGGAGAATTGCACTCTATAAACTTAAGAAAATGTAGGTCGGTTTGCGAAAAAAAAGGGATTTAAATTTCTTTTCTCAGTTAATTAAAATAAATCAAATACTGTACTGTATCGTTCTTATATACCCTTTTCTCAGTTAATTAAAATAAATCAAATACAAATTTCAAAAAAAATAAATGAATCAAATACTGTACTGTATTGTTCTTATATACTCAATCAGTTAATTAAAATAAATCAAATACAAATTTCAAAAAAAATAAATGAATCAAATACTGTACTGTATTGTTCTTATATACTCAATCCATTCTAAAATTATTATCCAGTTTGAAATTTCACTTTTAATATAATTTGAACTAAAAATGAAAACTCAAACTGGACAATAATTATGGGATGGAAGGAGTATTTTTTTAGTACTGTAAAATTTTAGATTAATTTTGTCTAAGTTTTTATTACCCAACGAGAATGGAACCATCGACTTTCCGATAATAACAATCCCCATCCTAATCCCTTAACCACCCCACCCAACCCTACTACCCTTAAATTTTGTCTAAGATAGTGACAATATCAAAAAAAGATAAATAACTTTCGGGCATTATGCAGAATTTCCTACTAAGTTGGAGTTTGATTTCCTCCTTTTTGGATTATAAGAGAATGTTACCCAAGCCATTGATTGACTTGATTTGGATTATTGGCTCTACTTGATATTACAATCCAATTACAATTATCAAAAACACATTTTCGTTGGAAAGAATACACTCCAATGCGCCTTTTTGCAACAGGTTTCTTATGTGCTCCTCATCCTGTCACAAAATGGGCATCTCCAGTGCTTGCAGAACATCCTTGAACTCAAATTCACGTGTTTCTTTGTTGAAACGCTCGACTAACTTGTACCGAACATCATTCAAGTAAAAAGATTGTGCAGTCTCTAGAAGCCATTTGGCCTCATCGTCACTCAGCTTGCTAGTAAGCACAACATCACCACGGACAAGGACCAGTTCCTTTGTTTCTGAGAATTCTGTGTAGTATGAGACGGTGAAGTATGGGGCCGCCTGAGTTCCTCTCGCTTTATAGTCTTCTAGACCAGTAAACAGCATGTGCGGCATTTGGACTGCATAAACATTCAAGGAAAAATTGATGATGATCAGCGCAGCAGATATTTGAATGCTGTAAGGCGATACAACTTTAAAGAACTAAGAAACCTTTGAAATGGATGGGATGCTATCGTCAGCTCTCTTAATGAGACATTTGAAGATGGATTGGCGGCAAACTCTACAACTAACTCATGGTTCAAGTGGGTAGCTTCTTTTTCTGGAAGACAGGATTATACTCTACAACTAATGGTTCAAGATGGTTCAAGGGGGTAGCTAGTGAAAGACAGAAACAACATGCATGCCAAATACTAACATTTTCAGGAGAAAAATAGAAATGATAAAACAGGTAGAGAGATAATATCCAATGACCAGCCTCATCTTTTTCGAAAAGATGTACTGAGCTCCTATTGTTAAGCTCTTAGAACAATATGATCAAGTTAATAATGGCATACTACAAAACCAAGTCAGAGCTCATTATCTCTATATTTTCAGGAATTGCACCCCAAACACATGTAGGCATGATTACTGCATGATATGCTTATCAACAAGCAGGCAGAATCAAGAAGATAAAGACGATCTGTTCTCTCTTGGCACAAACTGCACTTTAAGCTAAGCAACCTCAACCTCTTAACATGTCCATCATCCAAGGGAAAGTCAGTAATTAATTGAAGATTTTGATGGCCTGTTTCATCAGCTCTAATGAGGATTTTTGGGTCAAAATGGGTCCCCCAGAAAGAATATATATGTCAAAAGTTAAGGGGGGCAAAAAGAAAGGGCAACAGTGGCAAAGAAGAGTAAACCAATTCCGAAATTAAATTTGTGTAAGTTGATATAATGCTGAATGGAGGGGATGTTGGGGGAGGAGAAGGGGTTGCAGGATTCACTACAGGCCTGCATCTTCACATAATGCATAGGTGCAAGGACCGTGACTCGCAAGAATGAATACTTATATGTACAGAGCGATCACACTTCACTAAGCGTTTACCAAAATGATGACAGTTTCTTGATTGTAAAAGGCCTTACCTTGAACGAACATTGTTGTGTAACCACTTCCCTTCCACAGCGGAATCACGAAATATCGGCTACAGAGAAGTAAGATAAAAGTAAGGATCCCAAGATAAGAAGACAGGATTATTAATGAAATCATGCATGTCAATTACCAATTTTCAGCTCTTTGTTGCAGTAGATGGTAAAGTTTGGCATTCATCGATACCCCAATGTGACCTCTCCCCAAATGGTACTGAAATTGCAATACAAAACACAAAAATGGGCAACAGCAGTTATAAAAGTTCACCAAATCAATTAATCAGTAACTAAAATCAACATGTTTAATATGATGCATGATACAACTCCAAAATTATCTAAGCATAGGTCACTACATTTTTGTTAATTTTTCAATTAAATTTTAAAGGTGAAGTAAAGCCAATATGTTGGTAATTTTGTAGCCAAATTATGATTCAATCTTGTCAATGATTTCTAAGCTTTTAACTCTCAAGGCTTTTTTCATTCCAAAATGTCATGATCCTGACAGAGAGTAGGTGGCCATGTAAAGATTAATTCATACCTAAGTTCTAAAGCTTCAACTAACTATATAATCTTTGATTGAAATAAACGACAAACAAATCATATTTCTGAATAAATCCAAATTCTGCAGTTTATCTTGATCAACCATGGAATCGAGATAGATACAAAATGAAAGCATTCCACAAAGTGAACTTTCTGCAATCTTGTATGAAAATGTTTCTAGCATCTATGCAACGTCTACAAAAGTAATGAATCATACACAACCAAAATAACAAGTAGAGCTAAGTCTTACATCATCCCAAATTTCTGCAAGTAACTCTGGACTTTTGCCCTTCGCCCTCTCGATATCTATGATCGAGTCCAATGGCTTTGGTTGCAGAGGAGTGAACCCACTAGCAAATTTGGATGTCCGATAAAATCCAAGCGCACTCCATTTCAAGAAATCCCCAGGAATTGCAGGCTTTTTCAGCGTTTGGATATTCTTCGGTAAAAAAGCCGTACTGTATGATTTATTTCCAAGCAAACAATTCGATTCATTGCCATTTATAGAATCCACTGCTCGAAATAACGCCCTCCTTGAGACTCTACTAGCTAACCGTTGCATTCTCCTTTTATCTGCAAGATTTGGTGTCACTTCAATTTTAATTAGTCCGAAAGAGGGAGCCCGCAGAAAAATGCAAGCACGAAGACAGGTTAAGAACGGGAAGGCCTACATAAACAGGTAATCCACCTTTAATACAATCATATTATAGCATAAAGTGTCACTCTCGACGAACTGGATTCTCTGGCACTCCCGAAAACATAAATAAGCAACGACATCATTCAGTAATTTTATCAAACAGCTGGTGTACTAAGGATGGAAATACTTCATAAACATCATTAACGAGCAGCATCGGACGTGAATAACACTTTGCACAAAACGAAAATAAGAAAAACCAATTGAACAATACGATTGTAAAGGATCCTTAGGACATTGCATGTGAAATGGAAATACAGAAATCTGGGCATGCGTGATTCTACAGAAAGTATGGCGTAACAGCAATGGCGCACTTGTCCTCCATTACAGTTATTTTGTGACAGTTGAATTATTCACCTGAAAGAATGCTGCAAAATTTTGAAGGTTTTGTAGAAACTCGAAGTTGCGATGATCCGAACTTGGAGATACAAATTACAAGTGCAGAGGAGGACCGAAGCTTATAGCGATGCTCACTCTATACGACGTCGTGCATGTTGATTGACTCTGTTAGTGCTGTTTCCGTAAAGTGGGCTGCTAATTGTCGCTATCCTAAATCCTAAGAAGCGCTCCCTTTAGACGAATTTACCCATGTCATAAAATTAAAACACAATAATCTTTTTGTTACTTCTCTCCAAACACAATAATCCTCCCAAACTCAAAAAAAAAAAAAAACATTTCTTTAATCATATGACTGCAATAATAAAAAATTGAAAAGATATTGGTCGATATATAGATGTATTAGTAAATCAAGTACCTAATTTTTTTATTTTTTATTTTTAATTTATGAGAAACAAAAAATTATTGTGGGGGAGAGTTTTTTTTTTAAAAAAAAGAAATTCAAGTTCTGATTTATAAAAAAAAAAAAAACGGGTTCAGGCTGGGTAGGATGTCTAAATTGGACGCTCGTGCCGACGGTTAGGCGTAATCTCTTGCCACTCCACCCAGCCTGAACCTAAGCGTTTGAAATTTACGCCTCGCTGGTGGTTGAGGCGTCTAATATAGACCCTTCTCCGTAAGGGTAGGCGTCTGGGCCGGACGCTCCTACCACCGTTGGAGCGCGATCTTGAAATAAAAAAAAGTAAAAAAAAATTAGAAATGTTTTTTTATTTGTTCATGGATTTTTGTCTCCACCAAATTCCGTTTAATCATTCGTTGTTCAGGCCTCTGAATTGAAGAAATATTTTTATTTTTTATTTGGAGTTAAGAGAATTTGAAGAGGTGGAAGAAAATAGTTTGTATGTGTTAGTTTTATAATGAGTGAAAATTCGTCCAAAGGGGACGCTCCCTAGGATTTAGGGGAGTGACAATTATTGTCACAAACACAGTGACATATTTAAAAAAAAAACGAGGAAACAAAATTTTTTGGGAGGAACTAACATTTCTTAATTTGTTTTAGTGTCTCAAATAACACAAATTTTATTGTCATACTATACTAATAAGACTGATTTATTTGGGTTGAAAAAACTAATATTGTATTTGTATATTCCATATTTGACAATATATTTATCATTTTGCGTGTGTGAATTGATCTCTGTTTTTTGTTTTTACAATAAAGAAGGAAGAAATTTTGAGTTTCTAATTTATTACAGCACGTTGGTAGGAAATGCCAACTACATCATGTTGTAACCATGGTTTAAAAATTAATGGTTGTTCATATAACGAAGAAAGTCACATTATACTCATTAATAAGATGCGAGCTATTTTCGCCTCCACTTTATCTATTCAATTCTTTCATAAGTAACATTGTTCAAAATGTTCAAGGAGTTGTCTCGGTTAAGTTTAGCCGAATTATCAAAGAGTCTTTGTGCAGAAAAAAAAAAAAAAGAAGTCAAAACTACAAACTTGCTGAGAATGAAATATCCGTAATAAAAATGTAGTTTGTAAATATTTCTAACATTCAAAAGTTGTACTATTGGACAAAGAAAAAATGACAGAAAAAAAGGGACAGAAACTAATGTTAGGGAATATGAGATTGTACACCACACCAAAAATTTGTACAATGGACAAGATGGTCCACACGACGCAGCTTTTACTGAGCTCACAATATAAGTTGTCAACCATTTAATGACGAAAATCGAACTGGGAAAAGGCAAATTAAATGATGATGAACGATATATGTACAGTTGGATCGACTGCGAAAGATGAATGAGCAATGACAGTCAAGCCGCTAGAATTGAGAACTTAAAATTGATAAACTAAGTCTCTTATTTTAGAAGGGAGATAATTTTGTCATTTTCAAATATGGTAAATTTCGTGTAGAAAATGAATATGCCTAATTGACAAAATCCATATAATACACAAACATTAAAAGCATTTTATCTCCTTTCGTTGATGATTTATTGCACCTGCACATGTCCTCACTAACTCTACCAACACAAGTGGGGGGCATATAGCTAAAACATAATCAATTTTATCTGTCCCCTCTGGAAGCTTCTTGATTCTCATGCTGAAAAAGCAGCATTCTGAATTTAGTTTCCCCCATAACTCCACTTTTTTGAACTCTCATCAAACAATTCCTAGTTTACTACTACTAGTTACAAATCTCTTTGATAAAACCAGTTCTTGTATACCATTGGCTTCATATACACAATTGATAGTAACCTTCAAGCTATTTTTGGAACAATGAGTGCATTGATCATCCTTTCAAAATAATTGTCGCGTCTGTATTATTATTTTGAAACAGAAAAAGTAAAAACATTAATTACATCATACGTAACGCAGGAGTTAGCTCCTAAATTCTAATCAATACGTAAATAACTAATCAGCTCATTAGAACTAACTTTTGCTCGTGGTTCCAATTTCCCTGTAGTTTTCAAGTTTCAACAATGCAGAAAGTGTACAACACAGCCCACTATCTCTTTCTATCTGAACCTATATTTTTATAATTGCTGGCTGCCCTTTCACGGGTTTTGATTCCTTCTTCTTTAACATTGGCCATTCAATGCTCACAACTACACTTTGATTCATCCAATCCGTCGCTTCCTTCACTCATGCTCTTTCTGTACAAATATTGTCTCCTTGTTACAAATAATTTTGTCCTGACATGCACTGAAAAAGAAGAAAAAAGAATACGAAAACAGCCAGCCATGTCTTCCTCATATTTTATATTGCTCTGTTCTGCTGATTCTCTTAGAATTTTGCGACTAATCAGCTTCTTCACCCTATTGTTATCATCTTCAAATTGCTCGGCCAATGTGGGTTCCGACGTAAGGAAGGCGCCTCGACAGCTTTCGGTTGACTTCTATGCTAAATCCTGCCCACAGGTTGATCAGCTTGTGGCCTCTGTCACCTCTGCACAGTTCAGAGAATCCCCTGTTTCAGCTCCGGCCACCATCCGCCTCTTCTTCCATGATTGTTTTGTTGATGTAATAACCCTTTAATAACCTAATTAGTAACATGTTTGCATTATACATACGTTAATTCATCGTACCCAATTACCCAATCATAATTGCATGCATTTTGCACCCTACTTAATTTTTATATATTACTAAGTTGGTAATTTTATTGAATTATGGGTTGTGCTAATGAAAGGGGTGTGATGCATCAATACTGATATCGACAGCGCCTGGAAGCAAGGAATTAACAGAAAGGGACGCTGATGATAACAAAGACTTGGCAATGGAGGCATTTGATAGCATCAACAAAGCCAAGGCGTTGGTGGAGACCAAGTGCCCTGGTGTTGTCTCTTGTGCAGACATTCTCGCAATGGCAGCCAGAGATTTCGTCCACCTGGTAATATTTTGTTACATTATTTTTAGCTCTGACAAATAAAACTCTTATTTTGAGACGTAAGAGTAAATATTTGGTTAACTAGTTTTAGGATCCAATATTATTTACATTTATTACAGACTGGAGGTCCATATTACCAAGTGAAGAAAGGAAGATGGGATGGAAAACTATCAATGGCATCAAGGGTTGCTCCCAACATTCCTCATTCCAATTCAACCATAAATGATCTCATAAAGATCTTCAGCTCAAAAGGGCTAACAATAGATGATCTAGTCGTCCTCTCAGGTGCGCACACAATTGGTTTCTCACATTGTAAACACTTTGTGGACAGACTCTATGACTTCAAGGGCTCGAAGCAATCTGATCCTACAATGGATCCAAGGCTCCTCAAAGCACTCAAACTGTCTTGTCCGAAATTCGGAGGAAATAATGATATCGTGGCACCATTTGATGTCACAACTCCATTCTCTTTCGACAATGCTTATTATGGGAATTTAGTGTCAAAATTAGGCCTTTTGTCATCTGATCAAGCGCTTGCTTCGGATTCAAGAACAATGCCTTTGGTTCAAGCTTTAGCTAAAGATAAGCAGAAGTTCATTCAAGCTTTTGCAGCTGCTATGGATAAAATGGGATCAATTGGTATTAAGAGAGGACGAAAGCATGGAGAGATAAGGAGAGATTGCAGTGTGCATGTTTGAATTTTTATTTTTTTTTTTGGCTCAAATATTTTGGACTTAGTGTATTCTTTGTTTTTTTATGTATATCTTTTGTGTGGATACCATCATTTGTTTCGATTTATCCTCCTGATCGATCCCATTCCCACAGAATGTTTCCCCCCTCCCGTCAAATCTTGTTGTTTTTCTGAAATAGCTAATAATCTGCCATGGGTCATTGCATAATTGGAATGTACAAAGAGATTTGATATATCTTTGGCAGAAGTACAATTTGGGTATGATTGGAGATGGCGACTGAGTTATTATTATTATTATTATTATTATTATTGTTGTTTATAAGATACAAAGAAAAAAGTTTATCTCATGATCTCCAAATGTCAATCTATCAATTCCTATTCTCCACCATTCACATGCCAGAAACTACCAAACTCCCACCAACGAAAAAGGGGAGTAAGATTGATTATTCTACAACATGAACCCATCTTACAGACACAAGTACAGTAACACCATTACTACATTCATCAATCTTTTGTGGAATTCATGGTCTTAGGCAGTCGTGGAGCTGAATAGAATGAGAATGTTTATCTCACATAACATTATGTTACCTTCGTACATTGTAGATTAACATTCCATTGATATATTACGATAATATCATTTCACTAATGAGACACGATTGATACACAATAAGTTTGAAGGACGATAAAATATGATATATTTAATCACATATGGATGTAGGTAGTCAATATCATTGAATAAAAGACCATTAAAAGACTAACAGAATACGATTGAGATAAACGAGATGATTTTATAACAAGACCATTTGCAAAAATTTCATATGACAGATTGTAGGGACCAAAATTGTGATACATCGCCAAGGCAGAGGATTACAGTTTGTCCTGGTACAAATTACAAGGACCATAAATTCTATAAGACTAAACATAAAGGACTACATGTGTGACTGTTCATTCTCTAATGTCATTGGGCTTATTGTGTATCCCGAGGCCTAAAACAAGTATAATGAATTCCTTCGCAACCAAACAACCCCTAATTAATTACTCCTCCCACATATCATTAGCGTCACGTAACGACGCCGTTAAGTTGCTCCGCCACCGCCTGAGTGCCGCGGGTACAGGCCGCACATTCAAAATCACTGCAATGAGAGCGATGGTTCAGCGCGTAGCCTCTGCCAGCGTTGAGGTTTAACTTAGTTTTGCTTTTAGGACAGAAAATTTCACCTTTTGGGACTTCCATTTACGCTGCATCACATACCTACCGGTGGTGGCTTCATTGCAGGTTGAAGGGCGAATTGTATCTTCAATTGGGCCGGGACTGCTGGTACTTGTCGGAATTCATGCCTCCGATGTCGACTCTGATGCTGATTTCATGTATGTACCTTGCATTATTTTTAGATATTTTTTTTTTAATTAAGTTGGAATATATGAGATTGTTCGTAAACTTTGATTAAGCTGAGTTTGTGATTCTGTTCGTAAACTTTGGTGGCGCAGATGTCGGAAAGTGTTGAATATGAGATTGTTTCCCAATGAGAAAGCTGGAAAGCCATGGGACCTGAGTGTAATGATTTTTGTTTGTGGAGTTTCTGAAATGAGTGGCATTGTTATATTGTTGTAACGGTGTCTGAAAATTGTAATTTGCAGGTCATGCAGAAAAACTTGGAAGTTCTATTAGGTAGTTGAGTTACTTTCATTAATATTTTCGTTAACTACTATTCTAATACTAAAATGTCACTGGATTAAGGGGGTTAAATATGTAATTGATATGTCCATTTTTAGTAAATTGTGCAGTTGCTTCTAATAATTTGAATTCTGGCGCTTCTAGCTTGAACCTAATTTGAGGTGCAAACCTCGCCGCTAATGTTCAGGATCGGCTAATGTAGGCTGGTTAAGATATTCAGATAGGGAATCTTCTTATTATTAGTGCAAATTGCGTTGGTAGAAAGTTGAGGTGAAAGACCTGGCGCCAATTGAGTCCTCAACTTTTTATGCATTGGTCTTTTTTGTAGGCACACCCCTGTTCTTGAGAAATCTTGCCCACCTTAACATATATTTATGCTCTTTGAAACCCATCCTTTTTAACTGTGCACTGCATTGGACATGTTTTACCTGTGATTTGAATTCTTTAGATAGAAAATGTCACTATATAGTTCCTGAAGATGTTGTTTTGCCATTGCAGTGAGCCAGTTTACGCTGTATGGTGTTCTAAAGGGAAACAAACCTGATTTTCATGTAGCAATGCCTCCAGAGAAGGCTAGACCATTCTATGATAGTGTGGTTGAAAAGTTTCGCAAAGCTTACAAACCTGATTTAATAAAAGGTATATCATCTTCTGAATGTTATCTTATTACCCAAGTCACTTGTCAAGGGAAGGGGTAGGTTGGGGAGAGAGAGAGGTCTATCTGAGAGATTTCGTGTCCGAGGTCTCGGTTAAATGGAGGTCTAATGATATGATCACTTGCACCAAATAGGAATTCAATATTTGCTTGTTAAAGCTGCTATGGAGTATGGACCTTTCTTCTTATTTACCAGTCGATTAGACTTATAAATCTGGTGTTTTATTCTTGTTAATGGTGTGGGAATCTTGTAAACTTCTGGAGTGTTTTGTAAATATACTTTTGGAGTGGCCGGGATCTTAATTTGCTCATTTACTATATTTTAATCGTTTTTAATAGCAACTACTTTTTGAGTAAACCATGGGATAGTCCCATATTTAGTCTTCCAGTATGCCCTTTTTATTTTTTGGCTTTCCCTTGTGTTTCTCCATCTCTCTGCAGATGGCATTTTTGGAGCAATGATGAAGCTCAATTTGGTGAATGATGGTCCAGTGACCATGCAGCTTGATTCAACGAAACCATCCAGGTGATTCTTTTGTAATGTGCACACTATCTCCTTCCATATGGAAAATTAAGTATAAGTTTAGGTTGCTCGCTATACGCTGTATGATACTAACGGTAATTGGTTGTGCAGAGATAACAGTGATGATTCTGAAGCATCATAGTGAGGATTTTATTGTTGGATCCATCATGGTGACTGGACTGGGTGACAAAAGCTTCCACCTGACAAGCGGCTAATTTTTGATAGGGAAAATGAATGGTGATTACTTGCAGGGGAGAAATGCAAGCCTCTCATCAACACGGCTCCTAATATCATTGTTATCTCTTGAATAACGATTATGTAGTATCATAGTGAGGATGTCAAGTGCTAGAGCCTTTAAATTTCATCCTAAATGCCATAGGACCATGACCACTCATTTGTGCTATGCTGATGACCTATTTCTGTTCTCTAAGGCTGATATTCATTCCATTGAACTCTTGCAAGGTATATTATCTCACTTTGCTGATGTCTCAGGCTTGTCTTTTAACAATCTTAAAAGCAGCATTTTCTTTGGAGGATCTAGCATGCATATCAGACAACAAATAACCCAATGTTTGGGTTTTCCTGAAGGTCAACTCCCGGTCAAGTACCTTGGAGTAACACTGACAGCTAAATCTTTATCTATCAATGATTGTTTACCTTTGATGGAAAAGGTTACATCCATTATTAGATGTTGGTCTGTAAAATTTTTATCTTATGCTGGAAGACTTGTTTTGATCAAGTCTGTTTTGAAAAGTGTCCAAGTATATTGGTCAAGGATTTTTATTATCCCCAAACATGTCCTCAAACATATCGACAGTCTGTGTCGGAAATTTCTCTGGACATGTTCTGATGCTCCAACAAAGAAATCACCTGTGGCATGGAAAGATATATTCAAACCATTCACTCAAGGTGGTTTAGGCATTAGGGACTCAGTATCATCAAACTTAGCCTTGATGCTAAAACTGTTGTGGGATATTGCTCTGAAATCTGATAATTGCTGGGTCAAATGGATTCATGAATACTACTTGAAAAATCACGATTTTTGGAATTACAGGATCACTCAAAGTACCTCTTGGATTATGAAGAAAATCATGAATTTGAGACAGTATTGACAGATCTGCCACTAGAGTACTTACTTGGAAAGGTAAAGGACATGTGTTTTCTTCATCTGGTACCTTTCCAACTATAGTGCCTGATTACCCTTCTGTCCAGTGGTATAAATTGATTTGGGGCAAATAGTTTGTCCCAAAGCACAGTTTCATAGCTTGGCTAACTATACTTGGTAGACTTCAGACTAAAGAAAGGGTGGCTCTATTTGATCAGTCTATTAACGCTACCTGTGGTTTTTGTAGTATGCAAAGTGAATCCAGAGACCATTTATATTTTGAGTGCTTATTCTCAGGTCATCTCTTTAACTGTGCTATAAATCTAGTCCATGTCTCTACTCCTTTGATCCCATGGAATGATTTGGTATCTTGGATGATGTCTCATTATGGATCTAGTTCAGTTGCTGATAGCATTACTAGAAGCACTTTTGTATCAACTGTCTATTTCATTTGGGAAGCCAGAAGTAAACTTATTTTTAGAAGTGAATCTCCTAAAGGGGTTGAGATTGAGCAGAAAATTAAGTTCGCTTTGAGTCTGAACTTGGCAAAGATAAAAAAGATGAAGAGTATTCAGAAGAACAAACTTTGGGCTGCGAAGATGTGTATTAGTCCAGTTTTTTTTTGATAGACTATTCTGTATTTTTGACAAGATTGTATCTTGGATTGATTGAAATGGTCTAACTCTTGGCTTTGTCTAGACACTTGTGTTTTCTGTATGGAGTTTGTTCTTTTTCTCTTCATATAATGGAATGAATACAATCTTTATTAAAAAAAAAACGATTATGTAGTATCCATGTATAAGTAGATATCCGAAAGAGGCATTCGATAGAAAGTAAGAACAAGACCACTTGGGTTTTTGCTAATGTGAGGTGTACGTATAAACAGATTCATTCTAGATCAACCTTGCTAGTTTTTATCTCTGCACAAGTTTCAAAGCTACCGGATGTAGAGAAACTGGGTAATAGGTTTTGATGATAAATCAGTAGTTGCTACACCGTCATAATCAGATCTTAACCTTGAATTTTCTGAGAAGTTTAAGATGAAAATAGTTAACAATGAGTAGATGAACGGTACTAAGATATTATCCATGCATTTAAAAGTACAACATACACAACTGCATATGTCCAAACGACAGAAAATGATTGTAAAAATTTCAAAATAGTTAAAAGTCGTCTATTTGCTAAATTCTTATAACAAGCACACAAATGATTACATGAGGCGTTCATCTCCACAAATAGGAACTTCAAAATTTCACCCATAAATGATAATTCTGGATCTCACACCAAATAGTAACTCAGTGGCTGATTCCGGTTGGATTCATTGCAATGATTGTTCCTGCTGTAAAAAGAGCTTCTTTGCTGATCTCCAAAAGTTCACAACGTCTGCAGCAATATGGAGAAATGATTACAAATAACAGAATTCTTCGATTGCGTGTGAAATTTATGAATTCAGTTTAATAATCTTTATGGCCAATCATCAATAACCTATGCACTATGCAGCAAAAGAAAGAAAAGATTCAGCTTACTTATTGTCCTTTTGGAGACAAGCAAAAGCAGATATTATGTTCCTACAGATTTCCACAAGGCAGCCAGCTCCTGTATCCTGCTTCGTACCAGAGATATCTTCTGCCGATTGATTTGATGCAATTGACAAGTAAGCCTGGAAAGATAATGCCCCCAGTTAATATCTCATGTATCTTCATTCGGTACTGGGAATAGCTGAATTTTGTTATCCCCTTCACAATTGTCAGTACATGTTATACGTCTATGATTCCAGTTCTCCATCTCATCAACCTTATTTATTATCATTGTTTGGGGGACAAATTGTACCAATAACCAAAAAGCTGAGTCCTTGTATAAGGAGCGTTGAGCCAGATATACATGTGATAATGTGAATATCAAAAGCAATCATAAGGCAATCACCTTAAATGCGTGTGCTAAAAGCAACTGAGTAACTTCTGCCCTGATCTTTTTGTTTACTCCTTTAGAGATGCTCTGATTCGAGAAGCACTTCAAAATCCCATCAAAAGTTACATCACTAGCCGAGCCATTTGAACGTCTGGTGCGAGCAGAAGACTGATAATATGTGAATCAATGAAGCAAATACATGATGTCAATCAAAGGAGGTTACACCATAGATGGCAGGTATAATAAAATACTGGAAAGTTTAGGAAGGAATAAGTCAAAAGGACCCTCGTGGGACTATTTGTGATTGACTAGAAAAGGAAGCTTCAGCTTTAAGAGATTAGTGAACAACATACTGAAACCTTTACAATTCGGAAAAAAAGAACCTCGCAACATAGTTCACTTTTACTAATTAACAAGAAAAGAAAGCCCAGGCTTCATGAGTTTCTTTAGACCATAATAAGTGGTAAATAAAACTTTGTTGCACTCAAAACTATAAATCACGAAGCTGCTAGCTCTTCTATAAATGATGAGCAGGGACAAAAGGGTGACGGAAGTAGGAATGAATAAAAGAAAGATTTGAGAAATAAGGGAAAATTGATAAAACTATGCATCGGGATGCATTATAACTGAAGGTTACCTTAGGGATATACTTCTGGAAAAACTGGACCACTAGTTTTAGCTTCCAATCAGGTTCGTCAACTGCCTGCAGAAGGTATAAAATAAACAAATTTTGAGTCAGATAAAACAAGAGAAAAAGAAGTTTTGTTTCAAAGGCAAAAAGCTGATTGCGGTAATTTAGTTTTACAAATGTGAAGATCATTCACCAAGCTGAGAGAGAAGTCAGATGAGCACCAGAAAAAATGGAGAAAGTATATCACCATCATACGTAAGCTCATTTAAAATGATCTCTGCCGCTGGGGTCCTGTCTCATATTTGAGAGCCACAAGTAAACTTAACAGTCCAACTGAAGCTCTTAAGATCAGAAATCGTCAAAAAAGGCAAGTAATACCTCACTCCATCTGCTCTACTGATAAGATCGCTCATATCAGCAAGGTTCCTTGAAGAATCTAAATCCATAATCTGGAAGGTCCAAAATGAAATTAACACAATGGAAAGATACTGGATCAAAGAACAAAGGCTATATGCAAAAAATAAATAAATAAATAGATAAACGATACTGGATCAAATAATAAAGGCTTCACCATGAGCAGAAGTTTCTTCAGTGCATTACAGGTCCGCGTTTCTACTTCAGGTAAAGTTAACTGAACAGCAAAATAAATATTATTTCTTAGCTCCGCTGCGAGACTTCCATTTGGTCTCAGATCGTGAGCAAACTCTGTCAACCCACGACAAAGATCACACATCAGAGAAAGGCATTCCTTAATCAAATCTTTGTAAGATGTTTTCCTTGACCCCTGCAGTGCGATGATATATATTAAATTGAATTGTTAAAGTGGCATCATTCCTAATCATTTTAGAAACTTAGCAAAAATTGAAATCTTATGTAAAAACATACCAGAATCACATTGAGGATGGACTCCCTCAAAAGGGCCCAGTTCATATTTTCTGCAGTAAACATAAAGATCTCTAAACAATTTACTCAAATAATCCTGTTACGCAAGTAGTGATATGAAAGAGCAAGGAATAGACCTTTAAAAGCCTGTGTTCTTGCGATAAAATCTCCTTCGAGAATGCTAACAAGATAATGAAACAGCAACATATTCCTCAGCGACTGCAAAGCAAAGATAAAAAAACAGTTTTAAGTTGCCAAGTATTAGCAGTAGATGTCAAGACTTGGATTTATATGGTAGCGTAGAAATGAGCAATTCATGTAATTAGCTGAACAGATAAAGTAAAATACCCCATAAAGAGACAGAACTATCTTAAAAGTATGGCTTAAGCAGAATGGAAGTATATGATTCAGCAAAAGACCTTTAGATCCAGTTTTCTGCAGCTTTCCTCACTAGCTCTTCTAGACATTTCTTCTTTGCAACTCCTGCTGCTAGTTATTTCAGCAATATCTTCTATTAGAGAATGGAAACTCTGAAACAGAACAAAGTACTTAATCAATGACATAAGGGTCAGGTAAAAAAAAGAATATATAATAAGACCCGTCATCCTTTTACCTCCAGGAATAATAACACAATATGTACAGAGACTAGTCTTGCAACTATCTAAAATAATCTTTTAAGAATTACAAAGGGGAACACTTCATGTCTGATCAGTCTCTATCCAATCAATGACCACACCAATAAAACTTACTGAGGAGTCAATTAGTTCACCGTTGCTGCTACTGGATTCCTCCTTCTCACTACGACGGAATGGACACCACGCCTAAAATGGAGCAGAAAATGTGTACGAACTAGTAAATTTGCAGCGAATTGGAGTAAAGAACAAGAAGCCCTCTGATCAGAAAAACAAGAACTACCTCTTCAACTACAATCAGTTTTGAGAGAGCTTCAGACTCTGGGCATGATCCCGATTTTACCTCCAGCGACAAGGAGACCCGGGGATATCGCTAGTTTACCAGAAGAGTGGACGTTAAAAACCTGTATAGAGAAAATTCCAACAGATAAAATAGAGATCCGCAGAGAAGTACCTTATTTAACTCCAATAGAAGTTCATAACTTTCAACAATCAAGTCAAGTGAATCCTCATCCTTCAAAATTCGGAAAACTGCCTCCAACATTTTGCTGTACCATCAAAAAGTGTTCATTATGAGATAGCCAAATGTGGGATACATAGCAAGCAAGCCTCATATTACCGCATTTTTAAGCAATAATGGCCCAATTTTGCAAGATCCAAGATATAAATGACTAATAACAAGATGATAAAGTAAAAAAGAATCTTATTCGTAGATGAATGGAAAATGCCTAATATTTCAATTGAATACACCCGTAACTCATATTGCAAAATTATTAATCAAAATGTCTTAAATCCCAAAAATCAAGCATGAATTTCAAACTAGCTTATTATAAGCCACAGACTTCAATAAGCAAATAGAGTTCAACAACTAATTCCATCCACAAAACCCAGAAAAATCATGCATCCTACAAACACTGTCATACACCAAGCAGCAAACTTCAAAATGAACATTTTTATTTCCAATCATAAAAAAACTAAAATTTGTTCCTATTTTACCTCTACGCTTATTTATAGGTTCAAAATTACGCAACCAGAAGGAGTTAGCGGTAAAGGGAATACGAAGAGAAACATAGAAACGCACTAAAATTATACACATTACTTGGTAGGGGCAGTGCCATTTTCAGGAACCAAAGAAGCAGACCGAACAGCTTGCAGAAAAGCCAGACCTGCAAAACACAAGTTACTAATATAAAAACGAATTCGTCTTTACTACTACAAAAATCAGACACTAAAAAAGGTTTCCAAGTAGTTTAGAATTATTCTTTTTTTCCGTACGGTCATCGAGAAGATGGTGGGAAGTTGCGGTGCTAGAATTTTCAAGAATCGCCAAAGTGTTTTCTTCAATCCCCCTGAATTTCTCGCGGTTGCTTCTGCCCTTTCCACCACCGCCTCCCCTGCTTCCTCCTCCTCCTCTTCCCCTTTTACGCGGCATGAATGTTTTGCTGCTTTTTACTTATATATCAATCAAGAAATTAGAGAGGGGAACTCAGAAGAAATTAATTAGGGGGTTAGTTATGAAGCCCTAGAACTGGCGAAGTGGCGCTCGGGGATTGTTTCCCGCCAGAATAACACAGAGGTTCTGAAAGTAGTAGTATGAAAATGTAAAACTGTGTCATATTTGGGGGAAAAACAATCATTTCCAAAGTAAATAAGTAATACTAAATAAATGGGGAGAGAAAATGAAAATTCAGAGATAGGTAATTAAACTTCCAAAAAGAAATTAAAAAATAAAAAACTTCCAAAAATTCCGTTGCCGGGACTTGAACCCGGGTCTCTCGGGTGAGAGCCGAGTATCCTAACCACCTAGACTACAACGGATTGATGGTGATTCTAACATATCAAACCAAACAGATACTCGGTAGGTTGCCCGAGGTAGGAAAATTGAGACACACAATCTAAACCAAATATCCAACAACAATACCATCGGGAAGCTGTATTAATTACTTTAGGTCTGTATCCTACATGCAGAAAATGTGGGAATTTACAGGCAACTTTTAAAATCGAAGGGAAAGTGTAGTATTGCGAAGATAGTAATTTCTTCGTGTCTGAATTATTATATGGAAGCATCAATGTCAGTGATAATTCTAATTTTGATGAATCACACACTCTGCCATGTTACCGTGTCCTACATCGGGTCATTTTTCACTCAAAGGTACGGCAAAACCTGTAGTTTTATAATTGCAATTATTGGACTATTGTCTCAAGTCTAGCCTGCCAATATGAAATTGCGTATAAACTACTTGCATCACCAAACAAATGCCAGGGTGTGGTACTTAATTTGCCAACTACCTTTTCATGCTTCTAGATTTCGCTAAACAATCTTTTCTTTTCAGTGAATACCGCTTGAATGAACTCCAAACTGTTAACATAAGTACTATATTTAGCTTAATGATCATCATCAACATTGCGAAAATTCCCAATTATTTTTATGAGGAAATTATTTCGCAGTGCAATCATATTTTAGCGTGATATACAACAATAGTTACAGACATTATGCATGGCATCACTGCTTTTGTTTGATCATTTTTACTGTGTTATACTACCTCCGTTCTTTAATATAACACATTTTGATTTGTCATATCTTTCACCTTATATGTATTATTTTTAATTAGAAAAATCTTAAAAATACATTTTCATATTCGTTGTGTTCTTCTAATTATTAAGAAATATTTTTTAAGATTTTTTTCGTTAATTAAAAATATATACTAGGTGAAAGATATAACAAATTAAAATGTCTTATATTAAGGACCGAAGGGAGTATATCTAGAAAACGTCTCAGACTATATACCATTAATGCATGAACAACCGGCTGCTGCAAAGACTCAATTATGCAGATGTAACACAGATGGATTTTTTTTTTTTTTTTTTTAACTAGTATTATTAATATTGGACAGTTAATCCAGAGTGAGGAGGAAGAAAACAAGAGCTATCATCAGTGCTGTGATGACTTTTGTTGTTGTGAACTTTCAATGTCCAACCTAACAGAATTTAATGCAAAAACTGGTATTCCATTTATAGATATATATATGTTTTTCCATTGTTCTAAACTGCAACCAAATCTCTTTATCCCTCTGAAAGCTACTGTTCCCGCATAGACTGACATATTTAGTTAGTAGTTAACTTTCTTGCCATCCAGCCCGAGTCTAATCCCCAATGGCAGCTTGTCCGATCCATTTTTGTCTCGTCGCCGCCATCCTGACGGCGGTATTTTGTGCTCCGGCAGCCGGCGTGGACGTTGTTCAGCTGAGGAAGCTGGCAGCTAAGAATAACTTGACGTGTGTGTTGGTTTTTGGAGATTCTAGCGTTGATCCCGGTAACAATAACCGTCTTCCCACTACGAATAAAGGGAATTTCCCACCATATGGGAAGGACTTCATCTCCGGTGGCCGCCCCTCTGGCCGGTTCAGTAATGGCAGACTTGCCACCGATCTCATTGGTTAGTTACTTATGCCCTTTGTAACGCTGAAAGAAATGCATATTAACGTGTAGAGGACTTTATAAAATATAAGATCTTCCTCTACTCGAAATAAAAAAAAAATATTCTTCCGTTTCAAAATAATAATTTTATTTATTGTTGACATCTAATGGACGGAGAAAGTTATTTCATACTACCGAACACGCTAACATAATATTAGCATTAATGCTAGGAAATCAATAGATAGTGCTCTCATCATATACTCATTTTGTCTCGTAGTAATGGAGGGTTTTGTTTTTCTCTTACGGATTCAAGCAATCTCTGATCATATGGGATGCAAGTTTTTAGAGATATTTGTGAATTTTACTGCAAATCAAGATAGTTTACTGAGTCAACTATTGATTCCCACGTGCTCATATTATATAACAACTAATCTCTAGCACGAATTCAGCTTTATTAGTCAAAACATAAAATTCTTATTTTGGGACGGAAAATATACAATCTACAATATATATGTTTTTTCTTTTTCTTTTTTTTTTTTCACACTAATGTTTGTGTTACTTGCAATGGCAGCGGATGCGCTTGGTTACAAGAAAATCGTACGAGGATTTCTGGACCCTTATCTGAACAAAATGGACATGATGCACGGTGTTAGTTTTGCGTCAGCAGCTTCAGGCTATGATGAACTCACTGCCAATATCTCAGTAATTAATTAACAATTTTCCCATAAATCCATGAAAATACCAAATTCATGATGAGCTTAATTATCCTTATCAGTGTTAACATTAGTATTATGTTGGTGCAGAGCGTTATATCATTATCCAAGCAATTGAAATACCTAAAGCACTATAAGATCCACCTGAGGCAACTTATTGGAGCTGAGAAAGCAGAAAGACTCATAAATAATGCAGTTTTTGTGATTAGTATGGGAACCAACGATTTCCTACAAAACTACTACGTGGAACCTACACGTTCCCAGCAGTATACCGCGGACCAATACGTAGATTATTTGGTCTCTTCTATGTCTAGTGCCATTAAGGTGTGTATTTTTCTCATTAAACTCAACAAAATAAATTATTTTTCTCGGAACAGAAAAATTCTTATTTCTAACACAAGCTTACAATTGTTTGGCTTTATTATTATTATTATTATTATTTTCAGGAAATGCATCATGTAGGAGCGAGAAGAGTCGTAGTAGTGGGAGTTCCTCCATTCGGGTGTATGCCACTAGTCTTGACACTTAGAGGTGAGACCAAATGCGACGAACAACTCAACAAATTGGCCCTTTCATTCAGCACCAAGGTCAAGAACAGCTTGACAAAACTGAAGGGAGAATTAGGGATCAAAACCTCATTCGTTGACATCTACAACGTCATTTTGACAGTAATACAAAACCCGAAATCATACGGTTGGTACTTAAAAATCCCTTAAACCATGGTTTACTTTTTTCCTTTTCAAATCATGGTTTCTTGATGGTGTTTAGTTTGGTAGGTTTTGAAGTGGCAACCAAGGGGTGTTGTGGAACGGGAACCTACGAATACGGCACGACTTGCCGCGGTCTGACCACGTGTCCGGACCGGACCAAGTACGTTTACTGGGATGCGGTTCACTTTACAGAGAGTATGTATAAGATAGTTGCTGATGAAGCTTTGGAAACCATTGCTGTTGAGCTTCTTAATTAGTTTAGGGAAAACGGGGGCAAAAAGGGTTCACATTGTCCTGTTTAGTACTACAATTTTCAATTTACGTAGTTTTGGGGGATCGGAAGGAATCGATTTGATTAAATCATGGGACTTGTGTGTGCCACATTGTTCTTTCTTGCTCTTCTAGCTTTGAATATTAGTTCTCACTTTGTCTCAAAATGTTTGACACTAACAAGACAATTAATTTAGAAAATAAATAATTTAAGAAATAGAACTGCAAAAATAATCTAAGAACTTCTTTGGGTGTTTAGCCTGTATACCTCCATGTTTCTGATTCTTGTTCCTGATCTCATATGTGAAAACACATCACAAACTCATTTCCTCAAATGAATTCCTCTCACATTCTCATTCCAATCAATCCATAAGTCAACAAATACAAGCACTTGATACTGATTGGTAATGAATGTTACACCCAAAGTTTCAGCCCCTCGAGCAATCTGCACTATGTATTCTTCACTAGCATTCTATTGTTCCCATGGAAAGAATAATAAATAACTCGTATCGCTCTATACATCAAAATTCACAAGAGCAGTGAGTATTTGTAGTTACTCTGAAAGAATGTGGAGCCATCAAATAACTGCAGCCCCATGTCAGCAAGAGCAGATGTTAGCCTGTTCAAGTAAGTTATCGACAGCGTGAAGTGCCATCAGAGAATGTTTTACAGCCAGCAAAAGGGAGTAACGTCTTACTTGCATTCTTTTCAAAAGGCTATTCACTGTCACTGGTTTTACTAAGAAAACCATTTCCTGTTGTCAGTAGCCACTCCAGTTGCTGCGAGAATCACCACCAAACTCTGATGAACTGTAGTCTTGACTTCCAAACGCCATTCGCTGAAACATTCTAATTTGCGCAGACTGTTCTCTGGAATCATAGATACGGCTTTGGCCAGCTTTCATTCCATTCATGATATCTCCGACCTCACTGATGGATTCTAGAGCTCTGACTACCTATGAGGGATGGGAAAAAGAAAATTTGGTTAGCTGAATGAGTTCATGTCCTAGAAACTAGTTGGAAATTATGCATAAACAGATTCTAGAAACATGATATATCCCAAATTTCTCTCTATGGTGTTCAGTTTCTTTACACTGTTCTGATAGGCCACTGCACGGCATTTATGGCAATGAATCAACACAGAATCACTAAATTAGTATTCAGAAGACTATAGGACAACAAGAGCAATACCACAAAGATACTGAAAATAAGTTGCATAAATGGAGCACGCATTTGAAAAAAAAGAAGAAAAAGAAATCAATTGTTTGCTAAGTTCTGACATCATTTGAATTGAGCTAATTTCTTTCAGCATAATTGTTGAAAAATTAGAAAGCAAGGCTAAACGGGACTTGGTTATCTCAAGGCCCTTGAAGCAGTGCAGGCAAGATAACAATCATCAACCACCTCTTACAAAAAATTGGAAAACAAAACACAAACAAACACCTAAGCTGATGCATGCATTCTTTTTTCTGCAAAAAAAAAAGAAAAACAAAAACAAACAGAGAAAGCAGCTGATATGTATTCAACACAATAGCAACAGAAAAGGTAATAAATTCATTCCGAAAAATAAAAAAATAAAAAAATTTCATGTTTCAACCAAACACTGAAGACCGAACTTTTCAGGTTCTAATTTCCTTTATGACCGCATCAAAACCCCTGGAGACATTCTCTCTTCTTTATCAAACAGAATCATATCATAGACGATGAGCTGTTGCCACTTGCCAAGGCTAAATTTGGGTGATGTGCACTAAAAAAGTTGTACCTGACTCATTCGTGGCCTCTTTGAAGCGGAATGTCGGACACAAGCTGCAGCTGCTTCTATCATCCGGAACATCTCAGTTTTTTCAAAGTTGTTTCCAAGACGTTGATCTACCAGCTCTTCAAAATTTTCATTCTCAAGAGCCTGACTAAGCAGTGGCCGACCCTGCGAATTGCAATTTGACAAACTTTGATTTTCAAAGGGCAGTAAGAAACAAGGATGTAACAGGATCATTACAATTCTTCACCAAAAAAAGCGTATCAGAAGTAAGCAGAAGGGGGGATAATAGTCAAGGTTTAGAAGCTTACCCATTCAACCAGGCTTTCCTCGCCTAAAGGGAGAGATGCATCAACAGGCTTCCGACCAGTTATAAGCTCCAAAAGCACAACCCCAAATGAAAATACATCTGATTTTTCAGTCAATTTGCCAGATGTTGCATACTCTGGAGCCATGTATCTGACAGTTGTTCAAAGAAATTTGCATAAGAAAGAGCAAAATTAGAAATGCCGTCTTTCACGAAATAATAGAAAGAAAGAGAGGGTGCTCGTCAACTATATGTCTGCATTGAAAGGTAGTGAATTCAAATTCCAATTGGCACTAGAGTGGCATACATGCATTGTATTGATGTCATGAACCATACTATGAATATCTTGTCTTAATATCATTTGAACAAAATTAATTTCTTTGAAAAATCTATGCTGACTATAAGAGTTCCAACTGCAAAACAAAAATTTCCTACCCAAAGGTTCCCATTACACGTGTTGATACATGTGTGCGCGCCTCCAATTCCATTGCCAACTTTGCGAGCCCAAAATCAGCAACCTGTCAAATAAAAAAATGCTGATGACATTACAAATGATTTGCACACAGAGGGCATCAAACCATTGTCCCTTTACAGACCACAAAATATTGGAAGGAAGAGACTTTTAGGTAAAGAAGCTGACAATGGATATATTTTACAATGTTAAGATATTAATTCTATAAAGCTGCATACCTTTGCTTCAAAATTATCATCCAGCAGGATGTTTGCAGATTTGATATCACGGTGAATAATTCGGGGAATACCTGTTAAGTACAACAAAATTGAAATTCAAATGCTATGCGTGAATATTTTGCCAAGAGGCTGGCAAGAAATTCAGCCACCAAATCTAGAATAACAATGATATATTATTCTGCTAAAGTTTCCACTTTGTAATACATATATGTCCACACATGCATACAAACGAAAAATGATTGTAACTCACAATCCTCATGCAAATAAGCGATTCCGCGAGCAGCACCAACTGCAACTCTCATTCGAGCTTCCCAACTCATAACTGGTCTATCTTCCTCTGAATATTTATAAAAGGGTAGAATCAGAAATAATAAATGGAGGGTTGGGGGGGGGGGTGGTGGTCTGGATAGGAGAGGAGGAGGAAAAATTAAAATAAACTGACAACTGGAAAGGGTGAGAGAAAAACAGTTCCACAAATTAAAGAGTTCCAATAACAGGTCCACTCAAAACTCACCATGCAGATGGAAGTGAAGCGTGTTATTTGCTACAAAATCACACACAAGTATTCTTTGAACATCGGAGAAACAGTATCCAACAAGGGAAACTAAATGCCTGTGATGTATCCGGCTGATAACCTCCATTTCTGCTTTGAACTCACGCTCTCCTTGCCCTCCCCCTGCTTTTAGCCTTTTAACAGCTACCACTCTACCATCAGCCAACACTCCCTTATACACACAACCAAACCCACCTTCACCCAAAAGGTTTTTTTGTGAAAACCCTTCTGTTGCTGCGGCTACCTCCTCGTACGTGAACCATGATCTGGAATTTCCTAAGCCCCCAGCCTCTGGAGAATAAATGAAATTGCTCTCTGAGGCATTTCCAGATAGGTTAAGTGAATGATGAACTGAATGTTGATTCCTCAAAAATGCTGAACCTAGAAACAAAAAGAAGTACAGTAAGGATTTCTTGCCTGTAACATTCCTACAGCTTTGATCGATAGTTCCAAGAAAATGGATACTCCGAAAAAAAATGTGTACAAGCTAAACTGTTGGAGAGCCAAAAAGTACCTGAATTTTGAGAGGATGCAAATGGAGAGGGCATGTACTGAAGATTCAAGGCAGTATTCTTTTTCTTCCGTTTTTGAACAAACCAGGCACCAATCAAAACAATAGTAAGTGCTAGAAAGCCCACAACTCCGATTGCAGCGTAAGCTCCTCCTTTCATGCCTCCACCAGCTGCTGATGTTGTGCCTGCAGTGATATTTGGAGTGGATGTAGTAGACCTTGCTGTGGGTTTCTCAGTGGGAATTGCTGGTAAAGGTGTGCTAGATGGAGCTTGACCCAGAGATGTATTATTTTGTGGAGGCGGAGGAGGATAGTGCGGAGGAGGCAAAGGAGATGTGGTGTTGGGAGGCGGAGGAGTAGACACCGCTGAAACTGGAGGGGGAGACAATGCAGGGGCTGCGGGAGCACTTTCTGGTGGCATTAAATTGGAGGGAGGTGGAGGAACTAAGGAAGGAGGTGGCGGCACTCCAACCAGAGGAGGAGGGGGCTCAGAAACAGCTGGAGGGGGTGGCAGCGTTTTCACAGGAGGGGGCGGGGATTCTTGTGGAGGAGGTGATGTAATAGAATTCGGAGGAGGATTAGCAGGTGGTGGGATAGGCGGAGGTGATACTGGAGAAGAGGGGGGAGGTGTCAACAATGGGGCTGGTGGTGATTGAGGGAGGGGTGGAGGAGAGGCATCAGGAACTGCAGGGGAAGGTGGGGATTGTGGAGGTGGAGCTGAAGAGCTTGAACTATTGGGAGGAGGGGCAGTTGTATCATTAGTAGGAGGAGGGGCATCAGGATTTGTTGTATCGTTAGGAGGAGGAGGAGGAGACACGATGTTTGAATCACTACCTGAAGAAGAAGCCGGAGGCAATGCAACTGGAGAAGAATCTGGTGCACGTGCCTTAGATTTCTTCATCTTTCCAAGACAATTCTAATTGAAATCCTACAACTCACATATCATGAAACTGTAGGTTCTAATCATCAAACTGAAGGCTACCAGATCAGATGGCAAAGCGAGTGTGGTTTGACACAAACTTAAAACAAAGTGAAACCTTTCAGAATCAGAAGTTGACTACTTCGTAGGTATGAACTCTAACGAAAAGAATAAACTCAGGCCAAGCATCCCAAGCCCAGCAATCACAGCGAGGGAAAGATAGAAGCAGAAGAAAGCAAATGCTGCAGTACCCAAAATTTCTGCAGAAGTAATTTAACAGAAAACAAAATCCTGTAAGAGCTAATCAACCAGATGGCAACACAGAATCACATGTATGAGCCTTTAAATAGTCTGAAAATCAGCTAAATTGAAGAAAAGTTCATTCAAGAATGAAGAAAGTGGAGGATCAATCAGGAGATGAAACACCATTACGAAACCCAAGCAGCTGCAACAACTAAACTGCCAGAAAAATTAAAAAAAAAAAAACAACAAAACAAAACCAAAAGAAACAAATATAACAAGTTTAAGAAGCAAGATGAATGCATAACAGAAATTGATGTATCTCCAAGAGGGACAAAGCAACCCCGCATCAGTTACTAGCTTCAAAACTAGAATCTATGTAACACCCAGGTACAACAATCAAGCCATAAATTCTAGTCACGTAACTCTCCAGCACCAGGCAGAATCTTATCATGAACCAACAATAAATCAATGACAAATTTACCATGCTTAGTTGGGGAAGCAAAACCATGCCCACATCAGAAGGTCACACTATCGAGCAAAAAGAAGGCCGCACATTGTAAGTTTAATTTTTCAAGAAAACAATGAGAAGACAGACAGGCGGTCCAAGTTCAGATATATGGGGCAAAAAACTCCAATCTAGCCATACTACATTCTCTTGTGAAACTGGTTGAAATAAATAATCCCCCTTGTGGTTAGCTATCCATCTTCCTCAAAAGCCTGACCTCCCATAGAAAGATAATATAGCAAATTAACTAACAGACTAATGGCGGCATTCATATCACGGAATTCAACAAGGTAGCCGCTGATAAGACACTAACTTTCAAATAATTCACTATGCGTAGAGAACATATTAAACTCAATTGCCCGTATAACGAACAACCCAAATCAAAACAATTATAATGGAGACATCTTGGATTTATACTTGGCAAAAAACCCAAATTGCCGGCTCTGAAAGACAATGAGCCACAAATAAACATAACGTTGCCGAACAAAAGATAGAGTTGAGGTTACTGACCTTTAAAAAAGGGTCCAAAAGGATCCAAATTGAGGCGAATTATCCAATCTGGTCAGAATTTGGGCAGCAATGTCTCCAAGAAATGGACTTGCTGATTAGTTAAAAACACTTACAAACACCCAGATGCCAAAGCGTGAATCCGGAACCCAATTCTAATATCCCTGTTTAGACAACAAAGAACCTTAATTTCCTAAAGTTAAAAGCTTTGAATTTAGCAAGAACTCTGGTCCGGTTCCAATGGTAGAAGATGCAATTCAGCAATGTGTAAGAAGACGTGGGTGCAACCTCTTTTGGTTAAATCCCAGATAATCATCACCACAGGGTGTTCACATTTGAGAGAGAACCACATGATGGACTTGCAAAAGTTTTAAAGTTTAAATCTCATCATAATCAGATGTGAATGTAGTGATAATAATAAATTAATTTTTTTTTTAAAGTGGGAATGACAGTTTACTTAGAAGAGACAACGTGAAATAGGCCAAAGCTGCAAAGTCAAACCGAACATCATGTTGCCCATGTTCAACTTCCACTTCTATTTCAACTCCAACCCGCAACTTGATAAAGTTATATTCCTCTTTTTTTTTTTTTTTTTTGGTTCTTTCTTGTTTCGCTCATTACCTTCTCTGAACATGCTAATTTCATCTCCATCTCTACAAAAGGGTTCTCAAATTTGGAGTGATCTCTCTTTGACCATTACTTCCACAAAGTTTGACTTTATTGACCACGGTCACTCGGAAGATTTGAGATTTTCCGCAAACATTTCTTGTGTAGAAAACCTAAAAATACTAACATTATTCGTAATTGTAGTCGGTAGGCTTACAATTTTTTTTTAATGAAAAAAAAAAAGAAAAAAAGAAGAAAAGAAAGATTTTTAACTGTGTCATGTAAAGCATTATGTTCTTGATTACTCTGTTTTGGGTAGCCTGAATGAACCGACCTAAACTAGTCGAGTGATCCAAAGAAAACTCCAATTTTTGTTTTTTGACAGAGGTCAAAGGCACATGTGGGTTGATAATAGGCACGACAAACCAACCTATCAAGCGTTAATCCGGCCTCATTCCATGGCAAATGGCAATTTATCGAAGGCAATTAAATGAAGAGAAAAGAAAGACACATGATCATTCATTCCTTTATGTAAATTGTACACTCAATACAAAAAAAAAAGTGAAAAACACGTGCAACATTACAACCTATCTTCATAACACCAAGTAATATAACAGAAAGAGATTCTAGATTATAAAGCCATCCGTATTATTACAATATCATTCTTCTTCTCGAATCAAATCACAGCTCCTCATCATGAGATCGGTGGAAACCAGAAGCGATATCATCCTTCATTTGCTGGGATTTCTCCTTTGCAGCTTCGAGATTGGAGGTGACTTTATCTTTAGCCGATTCCAAGGTTTCCTCGGCCTTGTGTTTCGCGGTTTCATAACCTTCCTTAGCTTTCTCCTTAGCCCACCCAACTTTCTCTTCGGTCGCTTGTTTAGTTTCCGCAGCCTTTTCAGCTGTCCTCTGTTTCGCTTCCTCTGCTTTCTCCCGCCCCTGTTCTGCTTTCTCCGCAGTCTTCCTCCTAGCCTCCTCCGCGGCTTCATAAGTCTTTTGCTTTGCCTCTTCAGCTTTCTCCCCAGCAGCTTCCTTTGCTTCTTGAGCTTTATCTTGAGTATATTGGCCAGCATTAGAAGCTGATTGGGTGACCTTCTCATGAGTCTGGTGAGCAGAATCAGAAGCTTGATGGGCAGTTTCTTTCGCTTTATCAGCACCCAAACCTAAACCTTCAGAGAGCTTCTCCTTAGCCCATTCAGCCCATGATTCTGAACCTTCTTTGGTCTCTTTAGCACCTTTTTCAGTCTCTTTCACAGCTTCCCCTGCTTTCTCCCCAACATTCTCAGCCATGTTGTTCTTCTTGGTGAGGTCCTCATGATGATCAGCCTGGCAAAACACAATTACAAACAATAGCAACAACATGAAAACCAACACCCCAGAAAACACAGATCTTCTTCCTGTGGAGGCCATGATGATCGATCTTCACTATTTTCTCTCTTGAAGAAAAATAAGTTAACTTGTAGCAGTTATACTGTATGGATATATCTCCCAGTATGAATTGACCAATGCTTGCCAAAATAGATAAGCAATGGATATTGGCAGGGTGGAATCCTTTCTTTTATAGTGTTAAGCAAATCAAGATCAGCTAGAAATTACTATTTAGATAGAAATCAGAGAAAGAGAAGAGAGAATAGAGTAGAAAACTACCTACTAAAATGAATTGCATGCAGGTTCTAGAGTGGTAAGAATACGTGGCTAACATGTAGGACATGAACCCGTTTGTAGCTGACACTTGTGATTGAGTTGTGATTAACCCTTTCATTCCTTCTTCCCAGATTATCTTTTCTTTCTCCACTATTTGAGTTAATCAATAAGCACAGCTCACCAGCCAGCCAGCCCCCTTAGTGTCCAATTACAACAAAGCCCGCTCAAGAAAAAGATTTTCTTATGTCACCCCTTTTGTCATTGTCTAATTTGGGCTAGTCTCGGCCTGTCTTTCTGGCCTTTTTCATTGAGGAACATATACCAGACCCAACAGATTTTATAGCCCTAAACAAAAGTTCATAATATTATGCCCATGGTATTAAGGGAAATATTCAACAGGCGATACTGATTGATAATTGACTAACAGTGAGAGTGAGATCATGAAATAATGAATCATAAAAGGCACAGAAGAACAGGTGAGAATGATCATATCGATTTATTTCTACACTTTCTATTTCGAGTTTAAAGTGTTTATCCTTATTATCCTTTTACTTAATATAAAATCACAGTAGGCAAGAAATTAAATGCCCAAAAAATATTCAAGGACCACCTTCAAAGCGATTTCGTCCGTCGGATGGAGTTGATATGATATCAGCAACTTACTAAGGACAAAATTGAAATTTCATAAATACAGTTTCTCACTAAATTTTAAATTTAAAACCGGAAGCTTTTAATACAGTTCCTCACAATATTAAGTCACTTATTAGGGGCAAAAACGAAATTTCACAAATTCAGTGTACGGTTTGGTTCGTTTTTTCGTTCATTTTTTCAGAATTTTTAATTAATATTTATCCCATCCCAGCATACCTTTTTACATTCCCAATACACCTTTGTAGATTTCCAATAAATCTTTTTATATTCCCAATACAAAAAAATACACTCAGAGACTTATTAGAGGTAAAAAAAGAAATTCATAAATACATCCCAATCCAAAAAAAAAAAATAATAATCCGTAAGCTCTTGAGAAAAAAAACCCTAATCATCCAAAAAAATGACGTCGTTTTTGCTTCTCCGTGAGATTTTGTGGTGAAAAACCCCAACCGATAAAATGACATCGTTCTATACTTCTCACTAATCATAACAAAATCCCTCATTTACCCTCGTCATCCACCTTGTCTGCCTCACCCAGAAATATTTATATTAAAGAAAAACCCAAAAGGTTCCGCCTCCACTGCCACCTAAAAAAACTCGACGTTCACCTCATCTTTCTCTCCAAAAAAAAAAAAAAAAACTAAGACAATGCTTTCTCTGCCTACACTGGCACCCATCACCGTTCGTCGTTCTCCTTATTACCACAAAAACCACATTCGGCATCAGATCCATTACGTCGAGCCGCCGAAGGAGAACAACGGCATTAGTTGTCGAACAACCATCTTCACTAAAATTGAACTTCCTCTGAATAAGAAGAAAACAATCGCCAAATTTTTCAAGTAATCGAACTTGGCAGCGTTGTCAGAATTAAGAAATTCGTGTCTATGAATATAGATTTAGAAAACAAATCGAAATTTATGAATCTAGATTTGGAATACAAATCGAAAATTCTCCGAATTTGTATACGGATTAGAAATCTATGAGTCGGGCTCTTCTCCTTCAAGCTGAAGTCTCTTACGCATGAATAAGCTAGATTAACAATACCGGATAAACTCGGACTACCGGTTGTAGCAAACTTCATCCAATACCTCTTCTTCCACTTCTTTTCCGGTCCATTAAGGTATCTTTCTGATTGATTCAGCTATTATTGTTATTTTTAATATGTTTTCTTAGTTCCTTTTCTACTTCATTTTCTCCACAATTATTGTAAGCTTCTTTTGATTAAAAAACTATTCTATTATTTGGGTTGTTCTGTTTTTGTGTAACATCGTTTTTTCTCATATGTGCTATGAACTTTTTACAGTTGTTAATCGTTATTGTTCCAAAAGATCCTCCTTTTATGTTTTTGGTTTAGATTCTATGGATTGCGCCCTTTTAAGCAGATGGAGGGCTTCTCAGGGGGACAACCAGGTGGTGGTTTTTAAGCAGATTCTGTGAATTTGGCGAATGGCATCTTTCTGCTTGCCATCGACGACAACAACCGCTGCCTCTTCTTCAACCTACGCCGCCGCGCGGTGCTCTACAGGATCAGCTTCAAACACCACGTCGCCATCGCCAAATTCAGCCCCGACGGCAAGTTTATCGTTGTAGCTGTTGGTAAGCTCCTCCAAATTTGGCGCTCCCCTGGGTTTAGAAAGGAATTTTTCCCGTTTGAGTTTATTAGGACATTTTTAGAAAATTAGAATTTAATTTTTCTGATATTTACAATTTAAAGCATCTGCAATATTTGGTCCGAGTAGGTAGGCATTACTTTCATCTGATATGTTGTCTTTCAATAAGGAAAATGTATTTCTTTATGTATTGTGGAGATTACGAAAAAGTTGATAGTTCATCATTCGTCTTATGCAGGAGTTAAAAGAGAGAATTTTGAAGTTTGTGGTGCTGAATTCTTACATTGTGGGCACACATGAATCAGGGTAATTTGCACTCCCTATATTATCATTTGATAAAGATTGGTAGACCATAATCTTTTGAGTTTTACAGGTCAGTTTGCCCTGAAAATATTTTTTATTTTGGTTCAAAGCTGCATTAACATTGGTAGGTATATCTACATATGCGTGCATATCCATAAGATTTTTTGTCATCTTCTATCATCATATTTGATATTTTTGTCTTTTATGGTTTTAATGGTCGATTTAATTCGGTTAATTGATTTCGGTTTCATAAATTTAAAATTTGATGGCTACTTTAGTCCCAATTTGTGTGGTTTACTCCTTCGGTTTTGAGTTTCTTGGATATCAATTTAGTTTAGTAGATTAGTGCTTACTTTTATAATCAACATGGGTCGTTAAGTTCTTTTCTTATTCTTTAGGCACAATTTACTTAATTCGTATGGGTTCTCTATCGTGACCTTATTCTGCGACTTTGGATTGATCTTACCTGCTAAATTTACTAAATTTATTGCTATCCTACTAAGTGATTTAAGATTTCCTTTCTGTGTTGCATGGGTCGTTAGGACTTAGCAAATATATGTTTGCTTTGGGCAATATCGTTTCTTTGATCTAGAATTATTGTTTTTATAGTCAATTCATCTGGTCATACATATCCCGTTTTTTGAACCAAGTGATATGTTGCTCGGGGGGGCAAGGATTGGCATTCTGTACAAGACGTCGTTCACAGGTAGATATAAATATTCATTATTCGGGTGGAATCTCGGATGTGTATGTTACTCTCCTGAATTGTTGTGAGGTGTATTGCTGGAATTAAAGAACGCGACATAGCTGAAATGATTTTATCTGATTTTTTCATTAATTGTTTTTGTTACTTTGCATCATAAATTCTAAATTTCTATTGAATGAACTGTTTGTTGATTCTGCATTATTGCAGGAGAACTTTGCGAGGTGTTGCACTGCGACTTAAGAGCAAGTCATTTCTTGATAAGATGATTGTCGTTGAGCATACCGTGACTTTTTTCTTGCCAATACGTGAAGCAGAAAATGAATACCTTTCTTCTAATGCTCTGGTAATATTTTTTGGATGGTTTTTACTAATAATTTGATATATAATTACCTATTTGATTTTTGTTTGACGTGGGCTTTCTATGTTTGCACTCCAAAAATTCGTAGATCATGTTGGAGAATTGTTGCAGGAGTTTGTTGATCGATGGAAACATGTATGATTGTTTTTATTGAGAGCTTGTTGGTTTTTGTTTTGATATGAAGTGGTAGTAGAGTTAAATAAATTTAATTTATTCGGTATAAAAAATACCCACTTTTCCCTTTGTTGTGGAAAATAATTTTTGTTTTCCACCACTTTACTGATGTCCTCTAATGCAAGATGCCATTTTTAAACCCCTGGATGCATATACTTGCCGCCACGTATACATACCTGAATTTGTTCACATTTTCCTTTTTTTTCGTATTACCAAATTAAGGCAACTGGTCTAATTCTTTTGCAGGTGCACCTTATTAAGGAAATGTACGGAAATCAAATTAAAGAGCTTTATAATAGTCTTCCACACCACACTTGGTTGAATTCGTCATTAATGATTACAATTGGTAAGTTAATTTATGCACTTTTCTGAAATTCTTCACATGTGCAGGGTATAATAGAAACAACGAATTGTCTGTAGAATAGTTTTATAACATTTCAGATGTGGCTTCTTTTCTGCGTAAAGTGACTGTAAGTCTTAGATATGCTGATCTTGTCTCTATACTTCCAACTGTTGTTTGTGTGCTCACATGGCCAAAGCAAAGTGATTCTCTCACAAAGACGATAGTAATGAGCAGGAGGAGTACTAATAAGTTCATTCCAACGACGACGGATGTCTTACGTAGAGGACGCATTGGAAATAATGAGTTTAACAGAAGGTAATTATTATAATTTTGTAGTCATTAATTAATGTGCCATTTAATAAAAAGGAAAAGAAAAGATTATTTTTCCTTCCCATGCTACAATTTATTATGTTGGGATTCATTTGGAGCCCGTTTGGCATAATCTTGTTATGTGTTTTCGTTCAATTTTCAGTGCCGCTTTCAGATTTCAAAGACAAACTTTTTACATTTTAAATGAACTTGAAAATGGGTCAAAAGATTAACCATAAAAAAAAAACCAAAATATAATGTACAACAAGATCATTGTCCAACAGGCCCTATTTTAGCTGAGCTGCTTGTCAT